AACTTCTCTCTAGTCCTCTTTTGTGGATTTTTGTGAGAGAAAAGATGTAGAAAAAAAAATTATAGAATAGGAGAGTGAGAGATTACATGAAAATTGAACTAGTGATGCGGTTGACAGTGGCTATAGAGGCCCTAAGTTCAAGTGGGAGACAAAGAGATGGAGACAAAAGGTCAAGCAGGTATGTTCTTTTGTTCTCCATCACAAGAACAAAGAAGGAAGGGGTTAAAGCAAGGAGAAAGAAAAAAAGAAAGGATTAAAAGGGAGGTTTAATTCCTAAAATGCCCCTTCAAAGTGGCCATGGGAGTGGCATGTGTATTTCTGTTTGAATTTTATCAATAGAACAAGTTAGAAACCAATTGCAAAATGAAAGGGTAAATTCATTGCAATTAAAACTACATGAACCAAATTTACACAATGAGTAAAGTATGGAGACTATTGGTGTAATTCACTCCTTAATTGACTAAAGGTGCATTACACAAAGATAATTTAACTGCTCACAACAACCCCCTCCCCTCCCCCCCCAACAATCAAGAATAAGAAAATCTAACAACTAATTTGAAAATTAAATTACTCTAAAGCCAATCCACCCCCTCAGACACAAGGTTCCCACCACTGCAGGGTCTAGGGAGATGTTCGCAACATCACTCCCACGTGTGGAGAGGTTTTTTCTGCATATTAAACCCATGAAAACCAACCATACAACAGCACCAAGGCCAGGAAAAGTTCCTTATGCCATTGCCAAATCATTCCAAAGAACAAATGTGAGTGAGACTAGTCAAGGTAACCCAAATCTTATAGCAGAGAGCAAAATTATCCAATATAGCAGTACAGTGAGCACTAATAACAAGTTATAATAGAAGGGAGTTGATGTTAGGTTTGGGAAAGTTACACTTTCAAGGCAAGGAAGAAATAATAACACAAGTAACCCAGAAGGACAATGCACACAAATAACAAAACTCTAGATCCTAAGCCATTCCATAAAGAAAGGAACATGAGTGACGGGAATAGTCTTGACCCCCCCAACATCCACTACTAAAAAAAAGTACTTTTTGCGACTGCTACAAGCCGTTGCAAATAATAAAAAGACAGTCGCAAAAGACTTTTTGCGACGGCCCATGCAATGGCAAATGAGGGTCGCGAATGTGGGGGTGGCAAATACTTTTTGCGATCGCAAAACAACTGTCGCAAACTATTTGCGATCACCTAATCTACTTATGACGACTAATGTTCTTCCGTGACAAAAAAATAAAAATAAAAAAATAAAAAAAATACCTATAATGTATTAGCGACTATCTTGTTACCATCGTAAAAAAAATTAAAAAAAAAAAGCCTACAATGTTTTAACAACCTATATTCTCATATATATATATATATATATTCAAATATTATATACAATAAATGTAAAGTGATATTTGCAAAAATTCTAATGTAAGTGAAATGTGAATAAAACATATCTATATTTCACTTAATTTTACGTACCTTTTCTCTTTCCTTTTCCAAATCCCTCCTCAAACCCCCCAACCAAACACACAGTAAAAATATTTATACAAAATACTAATATATTCAAGTACTCAAAAAAATAAATAAATAAATAATTCTCAGTTTAGCTCTCAATATCACCCATTCAATCATATCAACTACTCGCTCAACACTACCTGCAAAAATATACATCAATATATTAGTTGACTAACTTGGATGCCAAAACAAAAATGGATACAAAGGCACATTAATTGACAAAATAATCAGCACTAAGAATTTTGAAAAATTACTTGAACTTAATTATCTTCTAATTCAACTGGACAAATCAGTGATGCTAATTGCGTAAAGAACACCTTGCAACAGAAATTTTAAGAATTTGAATCAGGAATTTTTCTAAGAGTAAGCAACTGTGCTACAACACCAGTTTAACTACAATTGAATTCATAACACAAAACTCATAAATTAAATGCACAACAGATAAACGATCATATAGACACAAAAAATATTGTTAATTTATATTTTGTCAGATAACTAACTCTTTGTAAAGATTCTCTATCTAATACTTGTTATGAGCTATGTGACTGAGGAGGAGCCTCATGCAATCACAATAAGAGTTGGCCGGGTAAAAGTCCCACTGCTCTGAAGACTTGTGTTTGAGATATTAGGGAGATTTTCAATGGAGGGTGTGTTTTGGAGAGTTTTCTCATAGAGATAACTGCAACAGTGTATTTGATCCCATCTCACTAGGGAGCATTCTTCCTTGATTGGGCTGCCAAAGGAGTCCTGTATTTGGACATATTAGGAATAAAATCGGCCATGTAATTTACAATACCAAGAAACTGTTGGACCTGCTTGTACGTAAGATGTTCATTAAGGAAATTTTGTGAGTCTAACCATCACATCATACCTTTGACTAGATGGTAACACAATAGTACCTTTGACTGCTTCATAAACTCATTCATGACCCTTTTGTAACAATCCTCACAAACAGCTGGTGGAACTTCTACACTCAATCTAATCTGAATAAAAAAAAAAAAAAAAAAAAAAAAAAAAAAAAAAAAAAAAAACATACTCAATTACAAATACATATAAAGTAGTACTTATACAAATATACTCTGATTAACAAGTGTACGCCGGCCAATAAATGTAGAAGGAAAAAGAAAAGTTGAGAAATGCAATATAGGATACTCAGAATCTCATGAACATGACAATAAAATAGTACACTTTGAATTGGGTAAGAAAGTAAAAACCCAACAAAATTAGCTCCTAACAGCTTATTGTGTTCTGGATGATGATATCTGCTCTTCTTCATATCACTTGTATTGTGTAAAAAATTTCACAAGTTTGAAGTAAAGAACAAAGGAAATGCCAGATTATCTACGTAAACTCATCCAGATAAGAAATAAGAGAGCAGATATCATCATTGAGTGCTTCAGAGTTCGCTGGTTTTAAAAAAACAGAAATTTATATAAATAGTGAATTGTCTACATAATGAAGTTGAAAAAAAAACCTAGAGAGAATAGGAGAAAACAGAAAATGAAAAAATGCAAAGCATCTCAGAGTCAACATTCCCCATCGTTTTCTTCACTAGCAATCAAAGTGCAAGGATAACAAAAGGTTACTCATCACTGATGCTCACATAAATCCATAGCTTCCATAAAAAGAACACATAAAAACTAATGAACCAAAAGCAAGTGGTAAATGGATCTCAGAATAATATGAATATCTTCAATCCCTTTAAAGGGAATTACAGATAGATAACGCAGTTTTTATCAATCATCATTGATCCTATCCAAAAAACCCAATTGAGCAAAACAAAAAAATTTAGTACTAAAAAAAAAAAAAAACAGAGCAACCAAGCCAAACAGAGAGAGAGCCATATCCATAGATTTCTGAAGCAGAAATCAAAGCAAAACAACAAACAAAGTAACAAACAGATCAAGCATAAAATAAGCTTTTAAAGCATAAAGATTGAAATTTTTTACACAATACAAGTGATAGAATTTTCTAAAAATCAGGAATCAAACACTTTAAACTCGTTACATGGACTTATATTCCCCAATATGAACCCATGTTAACAAGACGTAAATTGGGTATAGGTACGGAATGTATGGGACACATGAATTTTGCAGTAGTTTTTTTGTTTTTTGTCTCGACGGAACAACAGAGCCATTTTTGATTGGATTTTTTTTTCTTTTCTGAATTGCAATTCAAGGTTATGTTTTGTCTAGATTTAGTAGAGCTTCCTAATCTCTAAGAGAGATAGAGAGAGAGAGATGCAGGTTCATTGTATTGTGGATGGTGTGCTAAGTTTACATAAGCTTCCTAATCTCTGTGAGAGAGAAAGAGTAATGCAGGATGTTCATTGTATTGTGGTTGTGGATGTTGTAAATTTAAATGCAGTTAAAAAACTGAGGAATTAAATTGGTCCATGAATGTTTTCAAAAACTGAGGAAACTAACTCAGCCTAATCAGATGTTTTTTTCTTTTCTAGTAGTGAAGCCCAAAGAATAGCAACAGCCAGCACAAGTTTTCCTAAAGAATCATTCCAATAATGGTAGCCTTGACAACACCTAAAGTAATATCATACACTGATGGAACAAAAAGTTATTCTAGTAATGTCTTTTTTAACCTTCCTCACACTAGCACCTTCTACATGCACAAAATTATAGCTCCAATGTGTTGTTGATCTGCTTTAATAAATGTAAACATCTAAAACTTGACTCTACATTTTGTACATTATTTAACGATTATGTCATCTACAATGTCTGACTATGAAATTTTAGTCCTTATATTCAATAAAGTAAAATAAAAATATTTACTTCGGTATTTCATTAACACTTCAAAGAGATAACAAGTCCAAAGGTCATTACAATCACAAATCATAACTGTTCAGTCAGAAATTAAATTACTCAAAACACTTTAAAAACGATCAATTTTTACGTGAACAACTTAAAACTGAGATTTTCTTGCCAAATAGAGTACAAGTTTCTCGAGTATCACTATCCCTGAGATTATCCAGCTTCATCATTTGGATAATCAGCTTGTAGTCACTGCATTCCGACACTGCTTTCATCTTAATCCAGACACAATCCATTCATCATCCATATCTTCACTAGTTCCATAGTAATCAATCCTAATCTCGAAAAGGCCTAAGCTTTCGCACATTCAAATTATTCAGCAGGTCATGAATAGCTACTGAATTCATCAATAAAATTCAACATGCAAACATATAAATTGATTTAACCTATAATATTTTAACTGAAACATGTCATGATTTGTAGCAACATGAAAATAAAAATTACAAATAAAATAGTTCATACTTTAGGTAGCTGCAGAGGAGCTTTAACCATGGTTCATCCTTCAAATAATCCCCCAACACTAAGAATACACCAACTACTGTACCATCAAAAGATGTAAATTATTGATTTCACCTGTGGTTTGGAACCATTACTGTTCATTGTGTCAAACTGGACAAACAACAAGCAACAGGCTTGTTAAACGTGTAAGCTAACTGTACTGTCAAGCTGCCATAGATGGCCATATATTCAATGAAAAAAAAAAAAAAACACATGTTTACATATACTTGTACAGATATATTAGCAGGAAAATTGGAAAAATCATGGATCAATCAATCAAAACAACGAGATAAAGAAGAAATTGAAAAATTAAATTGAGAATTGAGATAGAACTGAAATACTGGAACAATTTTTTCAGCAAAATGAACCTCGCTTTTGCTTCGAATTAGGAGATGACTTCTTCGTAGTGAACCACTGAGTATCCGTCTTCTCGATCTCTAATCTTCATCAAACCTCAACTCACTCTACTATTACTCCATCTTCTATCGATTTGTAACACACTCAAAAATCCCCAAATTCATCTACTTAAAATCAGCAGTGACTCAATGCTTAACACACATATTTCGAGAGAGAGATTGAGAGAGAGAGAGAACGATCAGTGCTGTTTGTGAAGAGACTAGGGCAAATGTAAGGAAGAGGGGAAAATAAATAAAGGAAAATAAGGAATAAATTGACTATTTGCCACTGCTAGTACAGTGGTCGCAAATTATATAGTAGCAAAAAGTCATTTTTCTAGTAGTGATCCAGCAACACATTACAAAGATATTCAGTAAATAGACTTCACATCACTCCACTCTACTTTTAGTCCTATGCTATTGCGACTTTTGCTTATCAATCACTGCCAAAGTCAAAATGCAGCTGTACGAGAATACTTTAAAACCCAAGACAAACAGAATATATGTAGTCAACTCCAATCAGAATCTGTTCAAAATATATCTTAACATATGAAGTGTTCATGAAAATTGACATACAAGCAACCCAACTGCTACAGACAATGAGCATGTCCTTAGGGAAACATTGGTCACCGTTAAAGCATAAACTACATGCTTAACAAAAGCATAGCCAATGAAGATCCCAAAACTACATTCAACACTACAATATGCATTAAATGCAAATTAGGATGTAAAATGTCCACGATACCTGTTCTTTATGTCCTGCTTATAAAACTGTTCGGTGAACTTCTTATCCAATTTCCAAACTTGTACAAACCCTCTGATTGAAACTAGGCTCTCTGAGTAGCTACAAACTAGAGATGACCCTGCAAGAGCCCCATTAATTTGAACATTCTTAACTTCTTTAGAACCAACCAAACCAAAATCCCATCAAATGGGATCGACTGCATGAATCATTCTTCTCGCCATTTTTGGAACATCCCAACAGCCTCTCAACCCCCAAAATGGGTCCAACAGTGAATTTCTTACTCCAAGAGCAGTCACGACCACCAACACCAGAGTCTTCCATCACCCACATATCAACGAACTCATTTGGGTCTTCAAATCCACTGAGAGGCAGCAAAGCATGAACAGCAGAAGAATAGACAGGCACAAAGAATCCTTGACATTGACAGGACGACATCAAGTAAATACAGGGCTCATTACCCACATCGAACCACAAGAAAATCTCACCAACATTAATGTAATAACCCGACCCTCGTACATGATTTCTGTTATATTCTCAGTCCTCAAATGGTACTTTTAAATGCTTACTGTGTAGTTCCGTGAAAAATTATGATTAAGGAAGTGAAATCCATGTCTATGAATGTCTATCTGTCTCACAAGGAAACTATCTGTCACCATTAACACGTTTGCATTAGAAATTGGAAGTCTTAACAGCTTAATTAGCTGAAATTGATTATATATCTGTGATCAGCATAATTTTTAAGTAATATTAAGCATGTTTGCGAAATTTTAATTTTGGAATGATTAAACAATTCATTTTTGTCTTATATGCCTTATTTATGCATATATACTTCTAAGACTTCATGAGCCTTAGTCAAAAAAAAAAAAAGGGGAAAAAACGTGAATACCATTTTTGGGGGAGAAAAGAAGAGAAAGTGAAGAAGAGGAATTGGGGGAGAAGGGATCCAACAAGAAAGCTTGGCAAAGTTGTTAGAGGTGTAGGATTGAATTCAAGGTAAGCTCAAATCCTTCTTATTATGGCTACTTAGAGTTTGTAATTGATGTGTATGTTTGATTCATGTCCAATTCATGCTTGATTAATGAGGGTTTCTCTCAATTGGTTGCTTAGGCATCTAGATTAAGTGTGATAGGGAATTATACTTCCATCTATGGTTTTCTATCATCACTTCATGGAATTATGCATATATCATGTGTTTTGAATCCAAGAATGGAATTAGAGAGAGAGATGGCTTGTTGAAGCTTCTAATCTTGGTTAATTTGTTATACTCAATGTAGAATCCATGTTATAGTGATGTTAGGTGGGAATATTGCATTAACCTAACCTTGGGTTGCATGTAAAAATGGAGTGAATACCAGGTTGGGACTCCAATGGAAGTCCAGAATTTTAGAAATTCGCTTGGTCCGCTCGAGCGTAGGAAAGCCCGCTCGAGCGGGAAAAACCACCTCTCAGCAGTTTTGTGCATTTTACAGTCCGCTCGAGCGGCCAAAGTTACGCTCGAGCGGGGGACTCATTTTCAGGAAAAATTAAATGTTTGTTCAGCTTTGAGTGCTTGTTTCTCTGGTATTTTTAGAATATTTTACAGATGATTTTAAAGCGGTTGTAAGCATGCAAGGTGTAAGACTCAGGAAATGCTTTATAAAAAAAAGAAACTAATGTATTAATTGTGTGCAGGGCACATTTCAGAAGGAAGCAACACGCCACCTCAACACTGTGAGTAGTAGTACCTACGTAATGTTATGTAATCATGTCGATGTTTCAAGGCATGTAAGACAATTATGTTAATGTCTCAAGTAGGTAATGTACTTATGCATGTTTAAGATATGTTGGTGTTAAAACAAGTTTCAAGTGCATTTTCAAAGGCCTCGTGCCACAAGCTTCAAGTGCATTTTCAAGGGCCTCGTGCCACAAGTTTCAAGTGCATTTTCAAGGGCCTCGTGCCACAAGTTTCAAGTGTAATACAAGGGCCTCGTGCCATATGTTCAAGGGCTTCGTGCCATCATGTTTCAAGGGCTTATAGCCACATGCTTATGTCACAGGATTAGGCCTAGGGCCATTATGAATTAAACGCAGAATCAGACAAACCATGTGCATGCTGCATCTTTCTATGTATTAATGCATTTGTGTTTCAAGTTAGACGTCGTTCATTATGTATTACTACTCATTGAGCTCGACTCACTCTCTATTATGTCTGTTTCTGTAGGTTATCAGTCAGGGGGTCAATCCTAACTTTGACGCTGTCCCTTTTGTCAAACTTTACATGTTCAGGCACCATACCAGGCCTTTTATTTTTGTGAAGCTGCTAAGATATGGGTCTGCTTTTGAGAGCCACCTACGGATGTTGTACTTAACTTTTATATTCCTTTTGTTATACCCAATTATCGGGCTAGGACTATAATGTATATGTTATACACGATATCCAAGGATATAGTTTTAAACTTTATCCGCTTTTGATGATGTATGTAATGCATGAGATCCTGGCATATTAGAAATAGCTCAATGGAGTATGCTTGTACTTTTGTTATATTAATATTTTATGCTTCCGATAAGGCCCCGTACGGTGTGTACTTAGGTCATGCCCAAACCTTTAGGGGCGGGTTTATGGGTTGTGACAATTAAACTCATCCTCCTCCTCAGGATACACTATCCAATAGGGCACACCCTTGACCACCACAGCACACCTAAATTCAAAGAAATGGAAGGGAAGGTGGTCCATCTAAATCTCAATCTCGATCTCAAATCTCAATCTCTTTCCAAGTAGCAGAATTGACAGAGTAGAGCTCAACCCAAGTTCCTGTTGAGATATTAAGGCTGTGTTTGGAGTGAGTTTCTAATAAATTTTCCACCCTTGTATTTGAATGCTATGTTTGGTTTTAGTTTTCAAAAATCAATTACAATGCCACATTTGAAGGAGACAATCCGTAGAACCTTGTAATCGTTGTTTACAAAATCAAATGCAAAACCAACGGACAACTTAGAAACAAAGTCAGTGGTGAAATGGACGATTTTGGTAGCAGGGTTCCAAAGAGTGATGAGTGGAGACCAAGGTGGGCTATTAAGACAAACCAAGCCATTGATCTCCATATCGCATAAGAGGAAATGTGGGTTTGGATTTGGATTTGGATTTGGTTGTGCTACAGAATCTTTTAATTCATTCATAACGCTCAATGCATGCCTAAGAGTACTAGGGTGTAGTGGTTTTTTATGCAAGGAGATGAACCTTGGGTTGGCGAAGATGCTACGCCAGGGTGTGCACACGCACCTGAATCGGAGGAGGGACTTCACGGGGAGTCTGGACAGGATGTCCGACATAATTTCGCTGTGGGCATTGCAGCTCGACATAGCTCCTTCGTCCGGTCTGTGCCTTCGGTGGCTTCCTCTTCCTCCACCTCCTCTCCGCGCCGCATTTTTTGAGACTACCAAAGTTGTTCGGAAATTGGAAATGGGGGGTTGTTAGGGCTTATGTCGAAAAAGGCCAAATTACATTGAGGCCATTTGTTTTAGGGCATAGGGAGGGTATTGGGACTAGTAATACTAAGGTATTATTAATGTTCTTATTTGTTTGCAGAGATAGCCTTGGGACTATTAATCTCTTGGTATTACTAATATTCTTGAAAGGGGGATTGGTAAGGAGGAGGTAGATATGGTATTAGAAAATAGTGAGTGGATTAGAAATTTTTTTATTTTTTATATATTGGGAATTTTTTTTAAATATAATGTTTAATTTTTTATATTTTTATATTTTTTATTATTTTATATAAAAATAATTTAATAATTCTTCATTATTAATCCCCTCATTATCAATCCCCTCACTATTAATCCCCTCACTAACAATCCCCTCATTATTAATCCCCTCACTATCAATCCCCTCCATTCTATCTCCCAAAACAAACACGCCGACACCCTCTAAATTTGTTTGAAATCACACTGTCACCCCCACTCACCCCCTCTCACCCCATTTCCCAAAATTTACAACCATCTACCAAACACTAGGGGTGGGCGCGGGTCGGTTGCGGCCACGGAACCTCCAATCCGCCATCCGTCCGCCAGATTGGCGGATTGAAGAAAATCAATCCGCATCCGGTTAAAATAGTTAATAAAATAAAATGTTACATTTAATCCATAATCATTTTATTTTTTCTCTCATAAATATCACATCCAATTACAAAAAAATTTAATCATTTTTCCAAATACAAAAATTTTAGTCTACGAAAATAGCTAAAAATTAAAATAACCTACTAAAATAGCAACTTTTCAAACATCCACATAATATTTTTTTGTAGATAGCTTGTGGGGATGTCATGACCCGAACCTGCCCCTATGGGTTAAGGACATAACCGGCCAGTAATCAAGGGATTACCTATGGCCTCAAACCAAAGAAAACATATCTCATCAGAGTAAAGGGGCCAAACGGAAGCAAATTTAAAACTTTTGTCCATAGAGCTGTGCTTACGTGGCACATCATAACAGTCTATATATATATACCTGTTAATAACTCACATCAAAGGGATAATAACACAAAGTTCTGTACATACACAGGATCATTCAAGTCTTAGTCAGCCGAACCAAAACTTATATACAAAGGTAATCCAACATTTCGCCAACACAACGAAATTACAACAAGAGATCAAAAGAGGCGAAAGTAAGTCTCATGCGTGAGACATTTAGGACTGACTCTCCAAAACTTGACCCTTCTCACAGACTTCACCGAGGCTGGGTTTAGACATCTCTTTGCTCACCTACATACACATGAATAAGTGTGAGCGAAAGCTCAATGAATAATATCAAATAAAGAAGGTACGCAAATGAGATTCACATATATCAAACGGCCTTGGGCCCATGTAGAATTCTATTTAGTGCATTATTTTGGTACATTAGGCGATTCAAGCTCGAACATATCAAACGACCTCTGACCCAATCATTCATGTCAAACGGCCTTCGGCCCATTCATTCATGTCCGATACCCTTTGGCCCATTCATTCAAATCCAACGGCCTTTGGCCCATTCATTCATATCCAACGGCCTTTGGCCTATTCATTCATCTCCAACAGCCTTCGACCCATTCATTCATATCTAACGGCCTTTGGCATATTCATTCATCTCCAATGGCCTTCGGCCCATTCATTCATATCCAACGACCTTTGGCTCATTCATTCATATCTAATGCCCTTTGGCCCATTCATTCATTCATATCAAACGGCCTTTGGCCCAATCAACTGTATCCAACGGCCTTTGGCCCAACCATATAGCATAGCAAACATTTGTCCACAATTCAAATTAACACGCTTATAGAAATTGTATGGAAATAAGCAATCGGACAAATAACATACTTCAAAATATCATTATTAAGATATTACTCACAGTGTTCTGCCGGTGGATTTGCCTTGGAGCTCGACCCTACATATTACATAACACATATGGGTCACAATTGATTCAATCCGTTCTTAATTCATACATCCCTCTTAGGCTTCTTTCTTAATCTTTTAATTCATTCATAACGCTCAATGCATGCCTAAGAGTACTTAGAAGTGAAAGAGAACGGAAAATGAAACACAGAACACCTTTACAAATTTTTTGGAACAGGGGTCCCCGCTCGAGCGTGGGTTCCGCCGCTCGAGCGGACTCTCATGGTCTGCAAAAATATTTGTTACATCATTTCTACGCTCGAGTGTGAATTCGGATGCTTGAGCTAAATGTCCCACTACATGGCTCCCCACTCGAGCGTGAATATCCCTGCTCGAGCGGACGTCCATGTCTGCAAAAGTGCTGGGAACCAGCGTTTCACGCTCAAGCGGCAATTACCCCGCTCGAGCGGACATGTCGAATTCTGGAAATTCCAGCAAACTGCTTGAAACTCAGACTTGCATTCAAACCCATGTATCTTGCATATCACGACTCATAACTCTCATATACATTTACTAACATAATACAAATACCAAATTACCACATTATGAAGTTCAATTCCCATGAATCAATTATATGCATGCCTCAAATTATTCCAAACTCTTCACCAACATAACAAATTCATACATTCAAGACTCACACCTCCATGATTTCCACTTGCATGTGGGATATACCCTTTATCCTCAACTTAATTGGTGAAGAGATGATTAAAAACATGGACTTCAATCAAAATTCAACATGGATTACACACTTTATGCTCAAACATGGAAATTCATAGCAATTTCGTACATGCATGCATCTATTGACTTCAAATTCATCAATTACAACTCAATTCTTGTTCTTGGTCACATAATTACTTGAATTTACATGATTACAAACTCAAATTCATGAATCAAGGGTTGATTACTCACCTAGGAGCTTCAATTCTTCCAATTATAGCTAAATCTTGAGCTAATCCCCTTAGTTCTTGAATCATCTTGCAATTCTTCAATGTTGGCCCCTCTCTCTCTCACTAAATTCGGCCCCCTCTCTCTCTAGAGTGCTAATCTCAACCAAATGAGTGAAATGAGCTCAAAACCAAATGAATATGAATGTAATGCCCCCTTTTTATAGTCTCTCACTTAATCAAATTGATTAAGGTTAATAATAGTGCTCTAATTAATTATTCTGAATCTAATTATTTTGATCCGAATAAATTTCTAATTAAATTTCACCATATGCTCTAAAAATTATGTCAATCACAATGGCGTAGTCAATTTTGGCTTCTGTGGCCGATAAAGCCTTCAATTTAAATTTTAGAGCAGCGAATCGAACAGATTTTCCTGCAGTGAACAGATAGAAATTTCAAACCACATATATTCATATAAATCAAACACACAATCACAAAAATAATTAAGATTAATTAGCATAATACGGAATAGGGTTATCACAGTCTTCCCTCCTTTAGGAAGTTTGGTCCCCTAAACTTATTTTACCTTCGTCGGGAAACAAATGTGGATAGCATAGTCGCATTTCATCCTCTTTTTCCCATGTGGCATCCGTCCTATAGTGTTCTTTCCATTCTACTTTCACCATCGGGATGGACTTGCTTCTCAATTGTTTCACTTGCCGGTCAATGATTCGTTCCGGCCATTCGGCGTACTCCATATTTTCATCAAGAGCTACCCGGTGATAATCAATCACATGAAACGGATCTCGAAGATAACCCCTCAACATTGATACATGAAACACATTATGGATTTGTTCGAATCCCGGTGGCAAAGCGACTCAATAAGCAACTGGACCAAGCCTTTCCAAAATATGAAACGGCCCAATGTAACGGGGCGACAACTTACAATTCTTTCCAAATTTTACTTGGCCCTTTATCAGCGTCACACGAACAAACACATGATCACCGACCTCATATTTAAGAGGTCTTCTTCGAACATCCGCATAATTCTTTTGTCGGTCCTGAGCTATTTTGAGCCTTTGCTGAATAATTTTGATCTTCTCAGAAGTGTCTTGCACAATTTCAGGCCCAAGAAGAGCTCTATCCCCGACTTCTGTCCAGCAAATTGGTGATCTACACCTTCTACCATACAAAGCCTCGTATGGTGCCATACCGATGCTGGCGTGGAAGCTTTTATTGTATGCAAACTCTGAGAGTGGCAAATAATCTTCCCAACTCCCTTGAAAATCCAAGGCACACATCCTTAGCATATCTTCCAAAGTCTGTATTGTCCGTTCTGATTGCCCATTGTGTGGAACGTAGTACTAAACCTCAGTTCTGTCCCCATAGCTTTCTGCAAACTCTTCCACAATCTAGATACAAATTTTGGATCTCTATCCGACACAATAGATACCGGAACTCCGTGTAAACGGACAATCTCATCAACATATATAGTAGCCAATCTATAAGCATCAAATGTAGTCTTAACAAGTAGAAAATGTACAAATTTAGTCAGTCTATCAACTACAACCCAAATAGAATCCATACCTCAAGGAGTCCAAGGTAGACCAACAACAAAATCCATAGTCACATGCTCCCACTTCCATTCAGGAATCGGGAGAGGTTAAAGTAGACCGCCTGGTTTCTGATGTTTAGCTTTAACTTGCTGACATTGAAGGCATTTGGACACATACTCCGCAATTTCTTTCTTCATTTTAGGCCACCAAAAGCTTTGCTTCAAGTCTCGATAAATCTTGTTGTTACCCGGATACATAGCAAACACCAATTTATGTGCTTCATCTAG